TTGTTCTTCAAAACATCTTCTAAAACTGGTTGTTCCAAAGAACTAAAAGCATTATGCTTCAATGATCCATCATTGCATCTCTTTGAAGTGTTTATGTTCGCTGCATTATCAATGTGATCAATTTTCTTTAATATAGTTGAATGTTGTGTCTGAATAAAATGAAATAATATAACCTTTTACTTACCATTATAAGTTTTGATAAATAATTTACATTTTTTGATCAGTGGCGCAACTGGGATATATTTTTGAGGGGGGAGGGGGTTATTTTTTTTATTTTATTTCATAGACACAAGAATACTGGGCCCCTCTGAGACGACTCGTGTGGGGGCCCAGGAAAATATATAATATAGAATAATGAGATCTATGATACATCTTTAGCACTTGAAATTTGAATTTTAAAAAGCTGTGCACCACTGTTTTTTTATGTATTTTTGTAATTTATTAGGTATTTGTGTGGTCCCGACCTGGGCGACTACAGGCGTTGAGACCGCTAAAAATCGACAAGCAATGGCCAGGGCGCAGAGGACCACGGCCACGGCCCTTAGGACTATCAGATCCTATCGAACGGTATCCGGCGAAGCGTCCTCTGTACTGGCGACAATGATCCCAGCCGACCTCCTCGCCCACGAACGGGCCAAAGTGAAAACCCGGAGAGACGGCGGAGAACCTCCAACTCCGACCGCCGTAATAAAAAGTGAGGAGAGGAAAATTTCCATACGCGCCTGGCAAGCCAGATGGGACCGAACCGCAACAACACCGGATGCCGTCGGCCGCAAATGGGCCCACAGGCTGATACCGAACCTCGCTCGATGGCTAGCGAAGCCCACGCTGGTAATGACTTATCACCTGACCCAGACGATGTCAGGGCACGGATGCTTCCGCAGCTATCTTGCAAAAATGAATCGGGCCGACGACAGTTACTGCGGCTATTGCATGGACCCGGACGACACGGCCGAGCACACTGTGTTCGCCTGTCCAAGGTGGCTGGATGATCGAGCCCGATTAACAGAAATACTTAGGAGACCTCCAAACGCCGGCGACGTGGAAGACATCTTGTGCGGTCCCCCTCCGGTTGACCTGTCCGACGATTCCGCCGCCAGGGAAAGACAGATTCAGCAGGCTAAAACGAACCGCCACGTTCTCACAACCATGATCGCATCCATCATGGCCACTAAGGAGGAAGACGAACGCGAAGACCAGGCACACCACGGAGCTGCATTAAATAGGAGAAGAGGGCATTAGTCTGAAGCGCAAACGAGATCTCAAGACGAACGACTGGACGGACAGACACTCACACCACTCGCCACCGCGAATCGTCGGAGGTGTCACCGACCACGCCGTTCATCTCCCCATCTGTGACACCACGGGCGGGACGGCCATCACGGCATCACGGCATCTCAACAGGAGTACGAGTACTCAAGGGCGGCGGACTCCGGTCGGCCCGCCAGTACGGACCTGCACGTGAACACGAGGGCGCCTGACTCCGGTCGGCCTGGGGGGAAGACCACGTCCACCGAAATGTAAACTCTCACGTATCATGTATATTTTTTTTTTTATGTATAACGTAGGACTATGTCTGGGGGTAATTCGGAGACTGTCCCGAATACCCCCACGTATGTATAATTATTTGTCCTGTTTTTCAAATAAACGATGGCGGCGTCGCGCAAGCAATGCGCAAGCAGTCCCCGCGGCGTCGTCGGTTCAAAACTGCAAAAAAAAAAAAAAAAGGTATTTGTGTGGCATTTAAAACTAATTTAACATACAAGATATTAGATGGGTCAACTGTCATAGGCAGGTATGAAATTAACATTGTACTTACGCTTAAATGTTTTCTTATATTAGAGTTTGAACGTGAATCCACCTTGTAACACTTTGTATCGACACAACTTGAGCACTCCACTTTCAGCTTCTTGTAAAAAAATTATCCTCAATGACTCTTAATACTTTAAAATATTTTTGATAATTTGGCCAGGGTAAATTGGTTCTTCTAAATCTGCAACCTGATGCAATACAATTATTAACAATCTGTAGGAACGTCAAGCAGACAACAACGAACACGATACGAATAATACGAACCCAATTAATAAATATTACAAAAGTGTAAAACAGCGCAGGGGGCTATACATGCAATATTGTAATAGTGTATAACTGATTGTGCGCTAATGACCAATTATTGGCAATTGGTTATTCGTAGTCCGTACACACAAAAATAATATTATTTTCTGATAAAATTATGAAAATATGATAATACCAGGTTCCACATATTATTATGGTGTTATATTTATAGGCGACATAGCCATATTCATTTATTTATAGCAGAATCAGTTATCAGTCAATATCAATGTTTATGTTCTATATTGTATATAATATAAGATTATAGCTTTTAACACGGACTAAGATAGTAAGGACTAGTATCGCTATGGTTGGGGGGTAGTAGAGGAACGATCCTCAAATGTTTCGACACCGCCACTCCACCGTCCAAAAAGAGGCCGCCGTATTATACTAACCCCTAATACGTAAGTAAGAAACTGGCCGTCACGGCTCTTCAGTTTCCTGAAAGATGAGATGGCAAGTGAGGTTTAGATGGGTTTCGTGAGGTTTAGTTAGATTTTGTGAGGTTTAATCTAACCTAACGCTGCTAACGGCGTTAGCCGGTATTATTATTTAGATCTAAACTTATTCGATAACAGCAGCGCCATCTACTGCCGCCGTATTATAATAACTCCTTATACGTACGTAAGCAGCGCCATCTACTGCCGCCGTATTATACTAACCCATTATACGTACGTAAGAAACAGGCCGTCACGACTCACGGCTCTTCAGTTTAATGAAAGATGAGATGTTAAGTGAGGTTTAGATGGGTTTCGTGAGGTTTAGTTGGGTTTCGTGAGGTTTAATCTAACCTAACGCTGCTAACGGCGTTGGCCGGTATTATTATTTAGATCTAAGCTAATTCGGTAACAGCAGCGCCATCTACTGCCACCGTGTTATACTAACTCGTTATACGTACGTAAGAAACTGGCCGTCACGGCTTCTCAGTTTCCTAGATAGATAGCGCAGTCATATACGATTTTTCAACAATGTTTATTCGGCCATGGTTCCATTGAGTTATTTTTTTAGGATAAAACTTATTGGGGGGTTTCATTTCTCCGTAAATGTAAAACGCTTCTATTTTTAGACTTCATGTACCGTTAAAATAGCATTTTCATTTTATTTATTTGAATTACATAAAATATTTAAAAATCAATTATTTATTTTGTGTATTCCTTTGAACTTTCAAATAAATATCTACGAGATCACTAAATCCAAAATAAATTTCCTGTACATTAAAATCGGCATTCGCTGCACTCGTGCAAACCCCCATGGCAGGCGGATTATTTTTTTACAAAGCCCCGGAGATTGGGGACATAAGAAGGTATCGGGTCACTGTGCCTTTGCATTGCAGCACAGTGGGCCAGTCAGCTCCTGGTTTTTATGTACATTTATATTAAGGATTCTTTTATTATATACTGAAATGTTAGGTAAGGTTATATGATATAAGTCTACTTTCAATATGGACTTATGTAAAGCATTGCTATCGGCTAACATTCCATTGAATAAATTATCGAACCAAGTATTTCGAAATTTTTTGGAATCTTACACAGGGAAAGAGATACCATACGAAACAACTTTAAGAAAAGGCTATATTGATGATTGTTTTATTGAAACTATGCAAAAAATAAGAGAATATATTTCTGATCATAAAATTTGGATATCGATCGACGAAACGACCGATGCTGAAGGTCGATTTATCGCAAACGTGATTATCGGTACTTTGGAAGCTGAAAAATCTGGAAAAATATTTCTTTTGAACACAGAAGAACTGGAAAAAGCTAATTATTCTACAGTTAGTAAGCTATTTGACAAATCTCTTTCTATATTATGGCCAAATGGTATAAAACATGACAATGTTTTATTATTTTTGTCGGACGCAGCACCTTACATGGTGAAATGTGGTCAAACGTTAAATGCTTTATATTCCAAAATGATACACGTTACATGCACTGCTCATGGGATACACAGGGTGACTGAACAAGTACGAAGCCAATATGAATCTGTTGATCAGCTGATTTCAAATATCAAAAAAATATTTAGAAAAGATCCATCTCGCATGCTTCTTTTTAAAACTGAGGCACCGGATTTACCTTTACCTCCAGAGCCAGTAATAACACGATGGGGCACCTGGATAAATGCAGCCATATATTACTGTGAACACTTTGAGATAATTTTCAATATTGTAAATAAATTAGATTCAGAGGATGCTTTGAGTATAAAAAATGCAAAAAAATACTTGGCAACACCTCACATTAAAAATGATTTAGTCTACATAAAATCAAATTTTAGTTCTCTTACTACATCAATTACAAAATTGCAAACTGAAGGTGTTTCTTTAGCTGATTCAATTGAAATTATTGACAATGTAAGTGTTGCAATGAAACGTCTTACTGGGACAACTGGGAAAAATATCTGTACAAAGATGGAAAATGTATTGAAGAAAAATGTTGGTCTTGCTATGCAAAAGAAAATTAAAAACATTCTTAACGGTGAATTAATTGACATGAAAGACTTACCAGAAGACTTAGATATTAATGATCTGAAATATTTTAAATATGCTCCCATCACATCGGTAAACGTAGAAAGATCATTTTCCGCCTATAAAACTTTACTTACAAATAATAGAAGGTCTTTCAAAGTCGAGAACATAAAAAAACATTTGATAATCCAGTGTAACGCAAGTAAGTACATAATTAGAATTATAAAATGATTATTTTTTAATACATAAAAATTATAATTGCTAGGTATAGAAGATGCTGAGTGTTGAAAAATCCAAAGACCTCCCATTCAACAGTTTTTACATTTTTTTTTTTAGTAATATAGTATGTATAAAATATACATTTTTAGTAATATGTACAAGAAATGTTTTTTTTTAAATTAAATTTGAATAAGTATGTATTTTTTAATTAAAAATAAATGCATATTAAAGCGCATATTTTGATATTTTTTGGTGCATATGTATGCGCATATTTTTAAGATTTTAAGCACATAAAGTCCCGAGCCCTGGTTATATCTTATGTTACGTACACCAATTTATAGTCTAAGAGGAAATTCTATTCTATTGTTTATATACCTCGATGGGTACCATTAAAGAACGTCGTGGTTGAAAAGGTTAAAAAGTGATAACTTGTGATAAGTCGTGATCACAGCTGATATACAAACGTTCAGGGGGGTTCACACCAATGGCGGCATAGCACGGCTTTAAACCACGGCTATAGATACTATGGGTTGCACAACGAGCACAGATATGACGGCTCTGAATGTTCTTATCAAGAATTTAAAAAAGTCGCGTGATACTAGCGCCCTCTATGACCTGGTATATCATATACCCGGGATTATATAAATTATAAATATGTTTGTAAAGTTATGGTAACATGGTATAAGAGTTCTTACTGTAGAGGGCGCTAGTAAAACGCGACTTTTCGTCAGATTTGATAAGAACATTCGGAGCAACTCAACGCTGTGATCCAATATAGGCCGACGTGCAACCATAGTATCTATATGACTATATCCGTGCTTTAAACATTAGTATTATAGTATTACTCTATGGTCCACACTAACACCGTGTCGTGTCGTGTGAAAAATGTTCTCTGATTGGCTGAACCGCGTGGTTCAATTGCGGCTTACCATCCAAACGATACCGCATAGTTGAATATATTGAACTTTTGGCCGTTTGGTTACAGATAAAGCGCAGAAAAATGATAACTAAAAAAATAATGATAAAATTCAAAATAACATATAATTAAAATTTAATCGAAAATTCAATTGAACGTTGAACATTTTTTTCAATTGGTTACTTTTAATTAGCTGGCTACTTGAAATTATTGGCATGTCGTTTGTTAAAGTAAGTACATTAAACTTTTATGAGTATTATATCTACATTTGTATTTATTATAATTTCATAAGGTATATTTATAAATATACATTTAATTTTTAAATTATTTTTACGCACTCATTCAGTAAGAACTTAATCATTTGCTTTGATATATTGACACCATTAATCAGAGGGGGTTAAGAAGATGGCTTTGTTAATTGCTTGACACAAATTTACCGAAAATACTTAGGTATCATTAGCAAAAAAACTAAAAACAATTCTTTGGATATTACCTATTAGCACACCTGGTATCTAGTATTAAGTATCGATGCATTTACAAACTAAATAAAATATTGCTAATGAACACTATGCGCACAATTCACGTAATATTGTAGTATAACTAGTTTTTAAGTACAAATTAGGTACATGTTATAACTCATTTGCCTTACCACACGCTTTGCTTATAGAGCTAAATTCATAAAAATACTTAACTTTGTAATTTAAATTAATAATAATTGTAACAAGTAAACTTTTAATATTTTAAATTAAAAAAATATACATAATATACTATTATAATAGGTACATTTTTTTAATTTTAAACAAAATATATCTTCCTGAAGTTCTTTTTCTGCACTGCACAAAGTAACAATTTTCACTGCACACTAAAAAAAACCCTGACACTAACCAAACATGTATAATATAGGTTAGGTTAGGTTAGGTTAGGTATATAAGTAATATATAACAGTGATTATATCCAGTACCTACATCATATTAACTAATGATTTGAATGCTTTATTGCTTTTAGGGTAAATTCTGTCATAACTGTAATGCTTTTGTTGTAGAATCTGTAAAGAAGCATGTCTGCCCTCAAAGTATATAAACAATAATTTCATAAGTTTATTAATAAATAGCTTTACTGTACATTTAATATTTACAAAATATACCCAGTTAGTACAAAAGCCTGGAAACACTGGTACAATTCAAAATATTCTTCCAGCTGCTAGTACTAGTACTGTTAAGAAAATTCTTCCAGGTGCCTCAACTAGTTCTGTTAAAGATATTCTTCCAGATTCAACTCCTATGTTATGTCTTCTTGGTTTCATTCATTATCAGATCATGATGAGGAGTTACATGATGAAGAATCACCACCAAAAGGTGTTTTCAAATTTATATGCAACTCATTTTATTTATAGATAATTATCGTTTTTTTTATTATATATTTAGATATTTGTAAAGTGCAATCAACTTCCAATGCTGAACCAAAAATTGTAGGAGTTTCCAAAGAAGACATGACTGGTTTAATAACATCAATAGAAGTTTGCAGACCACTTTGGAATC